CAATATAATTTCATTTCCGCCTGAAAGATTCCCCGTAGCACTCCTTCCAGAACAGGTCTCCTAGTGCATAATGAACTCCCTTAGCTCTTGTTTATTGGGGAATGTTTTAATTTCTCCTTCATTCTTTTTAATTGTTGTAACTGTGTACAGCACATGTGCCAATAAAACATTTTCACATGTATAATTCAGCGATACGAATTACATCAATCATGTTGTGCAACCATTACCAATATCCATTGCCAAACTTTGTATCATTAACAAAGACTCACTCACTGCCTTCTAAACAATGACTCTCTTTCTTGCCTCTAACTAGTATCAAACTTTGATGTTTATACATTTGTTCATTCTAGGTAATTCATATAAGTGAGATTATGCTACTTGTGTCCTTTTGAGGTTGATTTACAGCACTCAGCATCATGTTTTCAGGGATCATACATGTTGTAGCATGTACCGGGATTTCGTTTTTCTTTACAGCTGAGTAGAATGATTTTGCTGGGGTATAGAATTTTTCTGGGATAATCCTTTTTTTTCTCCTCAGACTCATTTTCTTCTTCTTTTTTTTCCCTCTTATATTCCTATTTAGAATATTCTTTTTTTTAATCATTTTATTGGGGGCTTACATCAATTATGTAAAGGACATTTGTACATTCGTTGCCCTCATCATTCTCAAAATATTTGCTCTCCACTTAAGTCCCTGGCATCAGCTCCTCATTTTTCCCCTCCCTCCCCGCTTTCCCCTCCCTCATGAGCCCGTGACAATTTATAAATTATTATATTGCCATATCTTACACTGTCTGATGTTTCCCTTCACCCACTTTTTTGTTGCCCATCCCCTAGGGAGGAGGTTATATGTAGATCCTTGTAATCAGTTCTTCCTTTCCACCCCACTCTCTCTCCATCCTCCTGGTATCACCACTCCTGGCACTGGTCCTGAAGGGATCATCTGTCCTGGATTCCCTGTGTTTCCAGTTCCTATATGTACAGTGTACATCCTCTGGTCTAGCTGGACTGGTAAGGTAGAATTTCCATCATGATAGTGGGGGGGGGAGGAGAGGAAGCATTTAGGAACTAGAGGAAAGTTGTATGTTTCATCATTGCTATACTGCACCCTGACTGGCTCGTCTCCTCTGTAAGAGGATGTCCAGTTGCCTACAGATGGGTCTTGGGTCCCCAATCTGCACTCCCCCTCATTCACAAG